CGTTACAGAAAAAGCAGTGGGGGGAAGAATGTTTTATTTACTTCACTGTAACCAAGAAAAAAAAAAACAGTCTGGTTCTCCCCTAAGCAAGCAAGGCAGGATATAAGTGCGACCAAATGAGGAAGCAAACAATAGACAGATTCTGTTATTCGATTTGACGGTGTAATACACTACGTATTGCTGAATGGTATTCGCAGAAAGAAGACGACCATTCAGTGGGCTTCTAAAAAGTGGCGCACATACATCAAACAGGCCGAGCACGCCAACTGAATGTTTCGGCTCAGGATCGAAGGACATAATGTAGTTGTGCATGCGTTTAGGACCATACCAATAACAACACCACTATGGATCTCCACACCGGTTGCCCTGGCGATCTTAGTAATCTTGATATGCAGTGTAACGCTCATCTGTACATTTTAAACGAATACACGAGAAGCTGCGATAAAATTTTCAAAAAATCAACAATGGTCGCTAAAATACTTCGCGTTTTCATCTTTCACTTGAGTTGATTTGCAATGTTTTCAGCCTGTACTGGACCAAATAGAGACCAGTGCGCAACGGGCCAAAAATGCGTTACAGTAGAAGGAAGCAAAGAGTGTATTGGTAAGCTTACCATAACTTCTGGAATATGGATGCTATTCATTTTATCATTTCAATCGTAATTTTTGCTGCTAAACATTTTTGGTAAAGTCTAATTGCAAGTCAAACTGAAGCTGACAGGCACGACGTAGTGGAGAATACTATCACGGAAAATCTACAAAAAAAGCGACAAAGAAAAAAGATACTGGCAATATAGCTACCGGCCTTCAGTCAATGAATAAAGAAATCGCTTGTTACTCAATTTTGCAGGAGAAAATCCGGCACCTGAGCCTGGACCAGAGCCCAAACCCGAACCAAAACCAGAGCCACAGCCCGAGCCAAAACCAGAACCAAAACCCGAACCAAAACCAGAACCGCAGCCGGAGCCCGAATGCAAAGATGTAGCGCCGAACTGTCGCCATTTAATCTATCTATGTAACGACACACTTTACGCTCCACTAATGACTTTGTTGTGCGCGCAAACATGCGGCAAATGCGGCGAAGGTTAACCATATTTTTACTGTCTTTGCTTGCATTTTAATAAATCATGATTGTAATACGGAAGACAATACTTAATATTTGGGTCATGCGGAGCAAAATTGGCTGCCAGTTACGATACACAGATTTTATAGTGCATAATAGCAAAGAAAGTAGCAAGATGATTTGACAAATAAATAAAACGTGGATAGTCTGCTTTAGCAATAATTCTAAGCCGTGGCGGAAATGAAGATGGATCAAGATGATGTGGAGAAAAGGAGGATGGTGGACAGATGAGAAGCTTAAAAAGA